CGGCCGCCATTGTTGGCAGCTGAAATTTGGCTGGGCCGCGCTATGAATTCTGGGATATGGTGGGCCACGAAGGACACACCCGACCCACCCTTCAAATTTGGGGAAATGAAGGACGCATTTGTCGGCTGTATTTAAAGGAGTCGACGGATTGGGACAGCCTTCGTCGACGTAATCGGCCTTCAAATGCGGCCTCCGGAGGATGCAGCCGACGTTTTGGGACACAGCTACAGATGAGAACGTCAGTAAAAACTGCAATCACAATGTGTCAACACAAGAACACGCACTCGGTTCAGTGCTACTATATAATATTCGCTTTTATAATTGCATATAAAAAAGACATCCGAAAAAAATACACCAGCTAATAAGCTAAAAAAGGATGGATGCAGTGTGATGCAACAAACCTGCAACACATCCCGTCTACACTCCAGCAGCTTCACAAAGACAACGATTCAACTTAACGGCACATCTGACGCTACTGAATTGCGTCAAATTACACAGAGAATCTCTAACTGACCTTAAGAGGATCTTAATGAAACTAGTATTTACTGGGAAAAAAGTGAAACATTACCAGTTCAAAGTGCCAGAGGCAGAGCTTTTCTACTTGTCTGAATTAATGTGAAGGGAATTTGTGTCAAGCTGATGTTACTTACGCCTGACACGGCAGTTGCGTAAGAGCTAAGAGCTCATCCACAGTCTGCATCATAAAATCCTGCAGGGCTGGATGTGAGCAGGTGACGGCAGAATCTGCATATGAACGAGTTTCACTGTGCAAAAGAGCACGACCTCGGAGGACTGCCGTCAACCACACCCTCAACAAAGACATCCAAAACTAGCTGGAAGCCTCACACAGACAACAAGTGTGTGTTTGTGTGTTTTTCATCATACTGCTAACATACTTTGACAGCAAAGCATCAACAGAAACATATTCAAAGAGCCGATACAGACAAAGACACAGAGGGTTACCTTCAGTTTTCTGTTCTCCAAAGGCTGTTTCTAAAGGAGGCCCAAATAAGCCTGTGGTGTCTTCAGAGACTGGTGTTTGCTGATTGCTGCGACAGAAAAAACAGGACAATACAGAAGAAACTGTTAGCAGCAAACAGTTACAGCTACAACAGTCAGAGTGCATCGTCTCGTTGCATGTCGTCTGATCAGGCTGCAGCTCCCCTTTCCGCTCAAATCTTCCCAACAATATTACAAATGTGTCATTTTCAAAGTCTGGCAGGAGCATAAACAACGACAGGAAGAATGACGAGAACAGCTAATGGGATGGTTTTGGGGGCAGAATAAAAACAACTGACTTTTAACATTTGTCTTTTAGCATTACAGAAAGAGAAAGTGACTGTGGCTCAATCGCATCTGCAGAAAATACAAATACCTCATATTCACTGTACCGAGGCTGCAACCAACACACCAAACACCGCAGCCAAACAACAACCAACAAACGCACACTTAAACATAAAAAGACCTCGTCTTCAGCGCAATAGATATGAAAACCAGGTTTGCACGGCGTGGAGTTTTTGTGTCGATACAGTGGCAGGTCTGCAAAGGACTGTCTGGCTTTAGAGGACAGTTTTTGTCTGGAATTATTTAACGAGATGGCAAAAAGATCAAAAGCAACCCAAAGACAGTTCCTCTTACTACACTATTTTTCATGTGGCATGCCACAGTTTAAGCCTGCAGTTAATAAGCAAAGAAAATATTGAAGATAACAAAAACCTCGCCAACGTATGGTGCAGTTTCCAAATGTCGACATTTTATGCATGATGATACAGCGATTGTGCCTCTTGTTACTGACACCGCTGACTAAAACATCAAGAAAAGTATAATTAAAATGAACGCGTCAGTGTCGTGGAACGAGCAAAAAGCTAAAATAGAGACCAACTGCACAAAACTTTTCGGGACTGAAGTGTGATCCAAAGGCAGGAGAAAGGACGAGCAGCGACACCGAGATACACACCTGGGGGGCTGTGGTGCTGGAGCTGGTGTGGGGGCCACGGCGGGTGCAGGAGGGACGACGCGTCTCGGTCTGGCAATCTCTTCACCTGCTCCCAAAATGAAATGTATTTACGTTAATCTTACATCACATCCTCCTAATTTGTCACTTGTAAAAAGCGAGCTTGGCCTGAGGTGATGAAGCTGATACTTACTGGACGTGTTCCTTTTCAAACCCTGTAACGTGGAAAGAAACAACATGGAAATGTAAAAAGTCAAAGACAGGAAACCTCAAATTGTTCTCATATTTGGATCCAACATTCTTCCATCCATGTGTGAGGATTTCTAATAAAACCAAAAAAGATGTTCTTAGCTCTTTTATTCTTTTCTTTCTGAAACTTCCCAGTGTGTTTGGACAGAGCAAAGACAACGGCTGTTGAAGGTCGGAGGCTGAACTGCGACTAAATCTGATCAGACTGCACTCAGTTACACTTCGGTTACACTTCACATGAGCGGGCATGACTTGCACGCATTCCCCACTTTGGGCGATTTGTCACATTTTTCTAACCGACATTCATCAGTCCAATAAATGACGATGGCCGATATATTCGGGCAGGTGACTTTTTGATGGGCGGAGCAATGTAATCATGCAC